TTGTTGCACCAGACAGAGAAGAGCAAGGAGCCCGCTGACGGCTCACCGTTTTGGAAACGGCGCGTGTTGTTGAATCCCAGTCCGAATTCTGGGGTTGTCAGATGAGTTGTGCTCATGAGATTGGTGGTGGAGCAAGAAAGCGGTTTGAAGCGGATGGTGAATAGAGAAAGATACCGTTACCATGAGTGATGATGGAAGGCAGCTGTACAGGGCGTGTTATTCATCAGATCCACAAGGGGCGCTGCAGCTGCTGAGCAGTTGGGACCAACAACGTATTCAGATGCTGCCCAATACAAAGATATCGTACGTATGCTGTTTGGTATGCTGCTATGACATTGTGATATATGTCACTGGATGGGACGTATACTGCATAAATGTATCATCCCACAGGATGGCAATACACCACTGCACAGGGCCTGCTTTATGGGTCATGACAAGGTGGTGGAGATGCTGTTGAAGCACGGTGCTGATAATGAAGCCAAGAACAGCGTCAGTACAGTACCTCCCTCTTCCCCCCTTGACCCCCTGTGATGCTACACCTGTACCCCATGATGATGATGATGGTGATGATGCTGTACCTGTACGTCATGCTGATGCATCATCCCACAGCATGGCGATACACCACTGCACTGGGCCTGCATAACGGTCGTGTCGAGGTGGTGGAGATGCTGTTGCAGCACGGTGTTGATACTGAAGCCAAGCACAACGTCAGTACAGTACCTCCCTCTTCCCTCCTTTACCCCCCTATGATGGTGCACCTGTACCCCATGATACTGATGCTGATGCTGATGCTGGACCTGTACGGCATTGATGCATCATCCCACAGCATGGCAATACACCACTGCACAGGGCCTGCTTTATGGGTCATGACAAGGTGGTGGAGATGCTGTTGAAGCACGGTGCTGATAATGAAGCCAAGAACAGCGTCAGTACAGTACCTCCCTCTTCCCCCCTTGACCCCCTGTGATGCTACACCTGTACCCCATGATGATGATGATGATGATGATGCTGTACCTGTACGTCATGCTGATGCATCATCCCACAGGATGGCTATACACCACTGCACATTGCCTGCATTAAGGGCCATGTCAAGGTGGTGGAGATGCTGTTGAA